AGACAGGAAGGAGGAGAAGCGAGGTAGACGTCTGCCCTCCCTCCTCTACCCTGTGATTTGTTCTCTTCCTCCCTCAACTTGGTAATGGCCGTCTTTCATCCACACAGGAGAGGTGCACCGGGGAATGGGCAGGGAACACCCCTCTGGGCTTGCCCTATGGGAAGGCAGCTTTACCTAGTAGATGTTGAAGTTGATGTTTTCTCTCTAGGAACCCTGCTTTGGGTACTTGGGGAGCCTCCCCATGGCTGGCAGTCTCTTGTTTGCAGTTTCCTGGACGTGGGTGAACGCATTCTTCTCTGGTGGCCTGTCACTCTCTCTTGGCCCTTAGGAACCTAGAAGTCCAATTTCAACTTCTCTCCTCAGGCCTATTAGCCCCGTCTCATCAGGCATGCAGCCATCTACCTATGGTGTCCCCTCCATCCTCCAGGCACGTGACCAATAGTTGTACAAGGGCACACCAGTGCATTCAGGTTCATTTTATGTTCAGGGAAACATGGAATTTTTTTCCTGCTACTGTGAATCCATTTTTCATTCATTCAATCCCTACCTCTGATCTTACAGCTCTCAGATTAGAATCTCAGAGCTTTTGTCCAAGCTGCAAATGCATCTTTCTGTGGGACATCACCACAATAAAGCTGCCGCCTTATACTGCTATGTCCTACATTCCCTGCCTCAGAATCTCCATTGGATATGTATAAATCAAACTCTATAACCTGCAGAGATAGCTGTTAGTGCTACTGTGGATACCATTAGAATGTGTCATCTGCAGAACTCCAGCTGACCAAGGGTCCGGGCTGCTGTGCTCTGACATCCGTGGCTGCACCTGCATGTTGGTTGAGCATCACAAGAATACTAGGAAGGTTTGCTCCTCAGAAACACCGGATTCTTCTGATAACCGACTAACTCTAGGCCTTCCTGTCAGTCTTGGGAGCTTTCCTTAGACCCCTCACTCAGGTAAAGCCTTGCATGCTTCTCTCTCCGCTTCCCTTCCCATTGTCTCACACAGCTATTTGCCCAAACAAAATCCCTGCATGTGTAATACCATCTTGGGCTCTGCTTCTCAGGAGGCCTGACTAATAAGCTCCTTACCCCTCTCCCATCTTCCTTTCCTCTGACAGCCTGTGAGACTTACCTTGAAGCCAGCCCCCTAGTGGGTGTGGCTAGTCTGGTCAATGAATTGGGAGTGGAAGTGACATCTGTCACCTCTGGGCTGGAACATTTACTGACTGGTGTAAGAGAGAACCCACCTGTCCTCTCTTTCCCTCTGCTACAGCAACTGGCAAATTTCCAGATGGTGGCTGATCTATCAGCCCGAGTCCCCAGAATGAGAAAGATGGTGGGCAGAAGTCCCAGCCAGGCGAAAACAGGCACGTAGCAACAGCAAGAAGTAAACCTTTGCGATTTTCATCCACTGAGCTTTGAAGGTTAACATTAACGCAGCATAACCTCGGCCATTCTGACTGATAAACTCCCTATTCTCTAATTATCTTTCTTCTCCTGTGTTCCTTCTCTTGATAAAAGTCACTGCCAGTCTGTGATTTTTATTACATTCCTTTCCCCATGTCTCTTACCAATCACTACATTCTACTGAAGTATTCTCCAAAATGCTTCCAAATACTGGATGCTCTTTTTTATTTCCAAAGTAGCTTCCACTGTGGTTCTCATCATCTACTGCCAACTGTAAAGCTATATCCACATCTGGTCTCTGACCCTCTCTCACTTGTTTGTGCAGCTAATCTTTTTTTTGGCACATTAACACGCCTTGCACAGAATGCACATTAAGTCATTCAACTATTTAGACCTTTCAGTGCTTTGCTACTGATTAAAGATATTCTTTAGTAAAGCTTTCAATACTATACTCCCCAACTAATTTCTCAATCATATTCAGGGCTCAAATTTACAATCTCATATATTTCAGGCAGCTCCTTCGATGGAGGGTTCAGTTTTCAGGAAAATGTGAACAGTGATCACAATCTCATGACAAAAAAAAAAATTCTGTAAATCCTCCCACACACTAGGTATGGGGCTGACAGGATCCAGCCATCCATAGAGAGAAGTCTTCAAGGTTCTGTCCTTCAAAGACTCAGGCCAAATGAGAAGATAATTTCACTTGCTAAATTATGTTACAAAGCAGCTATAGGGAAACACTAAATTAGTGACCCAAGGCTCTTCCATCTTGAAACAGCACAGCTGCACTTATTTTCCTCACAAGTACTCCCTAATGGGGTATTTTAAAAGATCTTCCCTCATTCTGTTTATCAGATTTTCTAGAACCATATACTATTTAAGATGATGGCACATTATCAGCGACAGAGAACTAAGGCCCTTTGTTGTCATTAGGACACTCAACATATATTTAATAAGCATCTAACACATGCAAGGGACAATGTCTTTTCAGATTTGTATCCCAAGCAAACAGCACCCTGCATGGAATGGCCAATAAATAAATGCAAGTTATTGCTAAGCTTTGGGAACACAAGATCAATTCTTATGGACCCTGTTTATAATGACCTTCAAATCTTTGGGAGGGACAGTGAAATAAGCACCAAATGCAAGAAATACAAGCATTGTGCTGTGAGAGGTTAGAGAACGAAAAAAATACATTCTAACTGTGGAAACCCAGGAAGGTTTAAAAGAAAGTATTTCACTTGAGCAATGCCTTCATTTTTCACTGTAAGGAAACATGGGGAAAAGCATTGCCGAGTGAGAGGTCAGCATAGCCAGTGTGAGGAGATACAGAATTACCTGACATGGCTGGGAATCAGAAAATACAACAGAATGCTAGATCAGAATATGGAATGGAGTAATGAGGAAGTGGGTTAGAGAGATAATTTGCAATCATATCAGAAAGAGCCTTGAGTGCCAAATTAAAAGCTTTGAACTTAATTTTTTAGGCAAATGAATGAATATTGTAGCAAAATATTATAACCTAATACATTTTAGGAACATAATTCTAATGGCAATATCCAGGATTAAGAATTTTTTGAAAGTTGTCTCACTGGAGACTAAATTTCTCTAACGGCAATATGTTCATTGTACATTTCCATAAGGGTACCTGAATATCACACTGTACTTTCCCAGGAGGTCTCGGAGTGGTCTTACAGGGGTGAGTAGATAAGTGCTTTTTTTTAATCACATAGTCCTTTTTGACATGNTGCCTTTATTTTGTCGTCATCAACCTCGGTGGGCCTCCCTGACCGAGGAGCATCGTTGAGATAAAAATCACCAGCACGGAATTTCGTGAACCATCGTTGGCACTGATGTTCTTGTAGAGCAGTCACTGTAAACTTTATGCAACTTTTCACAAGCTTGACGCACATTCTTCCCTTCATGGAAGTAAAACAGTAAAATATGGCAAAATGCACAGTTTGGTCTTCCAGCTTCAAATCTTCAACTTGTAAAATCTCCAAAACTCAACCAAATTGTTCAATATTTTTTTAGAATGAAGCTAGAACTGTCAGCTGTCAAATGACATAGCAATAACATAGGTGCAAATGACTCTAGTACTTCCAAAAATGAACTAGTGCCATCTGTTGCAAACATGCGTCATGACTTTTCTGACAACCCAATATAAGCTAATCATCACAATGACCCTGAAAATTAGGAATCATTGTAATGTTCTTAAAGATAAGAAACTGAGATTCATTGGACTTCAGTGTGTTGCCCAAGGTTGAACAGCTGGCAAACGCAGAGGGAGGACTCAGACTAAGGCCTGTCGGTATCCTGTATCTTCGCCTTTTTATCCTACATCATGTAGCTGCCTATAGTCCCTCAGCACAGACATGCATCATTCATGATAGAAATGAATACACCAGTGACATACCAGTGAAAGAAAAGCTGAGAGGTGGAGGCTGGTGAAAGAAGCAATCCTGGATCCTTCAGATAACTGCCTCGGTATGCAGAAAGCTGGTCCCACTAAAGAGTTAAAAATATAATGTATATAGCCTCGGTGAAGCCAATTTAAAGGGGCTGTGTGCATCAAGTGCAGTTAAATTTGGAGGAGGGTGCATTTATTCTGTACACCTTGGCATATGTGATTGATGTCAGCTTGAGGCTTTATAGGGTAAAAAGTGCTGACAAACAAGCGAATCACTTTATTAATGTGCTGTAAAAGGATAAATGAAGCTTGAGAGGCTGTTTGCCCTGGACTCAGAACACTGGGAAGGCTGGCAAAGGTAAACACCTCCTTGGGGTGATCCATTGCGCTGCCTGCTCAGTTTCTCATGTGTACGCTTCCTTTTAGATTTCCTAGAGGTATTAATTCTCCATGCTCACAATTTCAAAACACTTGGTCTCACGTTAACACATCTCGAAATACTTGGCTAAGTTACCATATTCATTTATCTCCCCTGAAACCCTCTACTCCATCCCTTATCCAAAGTCAGCTGTTCTGAAAGGCAGACTCATCAGGAGTCTTTCTCAGGAGACTCATCAGTAGACTTTCTCAGGAGAAGACAACGCAGGAGAAATTTGTGTATCTGAGGAGGAACAAATCAATGATGTCACAGTGGGAACCCTAGGAGCCCACCCCACCCTCCAAAGCATGCGCCTGTGACGCTTTTCTGCAACTCTAGAAATCCATTTCTATATCCTTAGTTTTTACTTTCAGGAGTTCCTTCTCAAAACGCAAATACTCTAAATCATTATTAAATAAAATGCATCTGGGAAAAGCTGGGGAAAAAGCAAAGAAGTGATAGGATCTCTAGAAGGAATTCAAAGGCAACCCACACATTTTCCTGGACCAACAATAAATGTCCTCTTATACCTCTAAAATCCTTGGCAGTAAACTTTTCCAACCACCTCAGATGCCAGGTCAGCCTTTCTTTTTCTTGAGAATAAACTTGTTCCTCAGTCCAGGAGAAATGGTGCCCATTGGCGGGAACTGTTTCAAAGAGAGGTAGGTATGCAGTGAAGTCACACATAGAAAAATAAACTGTGAAAACCCATCCAGCTGTCCTATTTAGGACCTCAGGGCATCTTTGTGTAAATTAGAAAAAGGCGCCATCTCTGAGTGAAGGGTGCATGTTTTAGCAAACAGAGAAACATCTGGATTTCAGCCCATACTCCCATGTTTGCCAGGAGCAGCCGGGCGGTACACCCAGAAACCACACAACCATATGCAAGGGCTGCTGGGACACCAGGCTCTGATGGGCTTTGTCCAGCTGTACTAATTGACTAAAACTCTAACCTTTTAGGTTAAATTTGAAAAGCAAATTTCTTTTTATTTTTTAAATTATTTTTTATTGTGAAATACACATTTTTTAGAATTAGTTTCAGCTGTAAAACACTGCAATAGTTATACTTTTTACCCCTCGAGGCGACAACCCTCCTCCCCCAATCCACCGCTCCACTTCACCCCGCAATATCATACATATCTATTACAATTCCCTTGACTCCACTCCCACACTATACTCCACGTCCCATGATTATATATTCACTTATAGTTGACATACAATATTATACAACATCAGTTTCAGGTGTACAGTGCAGTNAAGGACAGCAACTTGTCTGTTCCCCTTCCCCGATTCCCCAACACTGTTCCCCTCCCCCAATTCCCCAATAAAATCTTTAAAAAATAAAAAAATAAAAATAAATAAAAACATGATAAGCCCCTTGCCAGGAAGGAAAATTAAAGACCAGTTCCTCTCATAAACTTAGATGCAATGAACAGAGTATTAGCAAAACAAATACAGAGGTATATTAAAAAGATACTATTGGGTTGTCAGAAAATCATGACGCATTTTTTTCTATGTTTTTCATTGCAAAAATGCATCATGACCTTTCTGACAACCCAGTATATCTTGAACAGTAGATTGTATTCCAGTAATGCAATTGTGGGTTAACATACTCCCAAATCAACGCAACTAGAAGCATGTCTCCAGTATTATTTCTTCTCTAACAAAATCTTTGTCTCTGGCTTTTGCAATGCTGGTATCTGAAGATATGTCATGTCCCTTGGGAATAAGATAATCATGTGAAAAAAGTGCTGTTTTTTCACCATGAACAAAACTTTGAGGACTTTATGTTTTTGTTTGGTGAACCCATCCTCCTAAAGCCTTGGACCTTCCATCCGCCTGCGGGTAAGCTTTTTTTTCTAGATGCTGTTTCTTCTGAACCTTCTTTTGACAACACAGAATCAGAAGGTATTGATCAGTAAATTTGACTATTGTGAGCATCAATAATTATACAAAGATATGTCTATCCACCTACCTATTTACATACCATCTACCTTATGTGAAATAGGCTCAAGCAAGCACTAATTTTTAAAAATAGTGGTTGATCAAGTAAGTATTTGATTTACGAACCTGGGGAAATAACATAAGCGAAAAACGTAAGACCTGCCTTCAAAAAGCTAACAGTAAGATGGGAGAGACTGTGCTATAAGTAGATATCAGCCAGCATGATGAGTGCTGTGATAGGAGGAATTCCACTATTCAGGAGGAAAGGAAAAGCAATTAAATCTCTTTGATACGTATTTCAGTTAAAATGACAAAATTAATAAATTAACATAGGACACAGAACAGAGGACCCTAACTAACATTCTAAACTTTCAGTAAAATTTCAGGTGGAAAAAATATGTTTGCAAGAGTAAACCACTTCTACTATTACATTCATCACTATTGAAAGTTTGTTATAAGATACTTTCATAATTTTCAGATTTACAAAAAAGAGGTAAATTTTCTACAAATTTAATTACATAAATGTTTCTACCATAGTGTCAGGTACTGAGCTAGACACTTAGTGTAAATCTGATATATTGGGTTGTTGGAAAAGTCATGACGTATTTTGTCTATGTTTTTTTGAAGGTCATTTATTTATATAAAGAACAAAGATCAATCAATGATATATTGCCCGTTTTGTTTGATAACCTTTTGCCACCTTTCAGTGAGCTTCATAATTCCTGGTTCATAGAAGGACCTGTCTTTATTTGCAAAAAACTGAACAAGGTGCTGATTTATAGCCTCATCTGAATTGAACATTACACCACACAAGGAGTTTTAAAGAGAGCGAAACAAATGGAAATCTGATGGCACAATGTCAGGCGAGTATGGTGAGTATGGCAACACATCCCATCTAAGCTCCAATAATTTTTGACGGGTGATCAAACTTGTGTGTGGTCTCGNATATTTACTGAGAAGTCACCCATTCATTCATTGCCTAATATGTTAACCTAAATTAAGATTCTAGGATAAAGTGCTAAATATGAAAACCATGAAGAGTTTCTGTCTGCAAAGATCTTCAATTATGTTGGGAGGATGTATAATGAACAGATAAACAAAACAAGAGCACTTAGAAAATTTGAGATAGCAGTGAGTATTATAAACGATGATATGATATATGGTTCTGATGTCATAATAAGGCACATAATTCAAGACATTCCTCATGTTAAAATCACAAGTAGTTGTATCACTATGAACTTAACTTAATGAAATAAAAAAATTCTGAGAGATTATTGAAAAAATAAGAAGAGATAAAACAGAAACTGGTAGGCTGAAGAAAGAAGTGGAGGGTAAAATGAATTGAGGGACTCACTGTAATAAAGAATTCTGAAAATAAAGTGAGATTCATAACAGATAGGCTGTAAAAAAGTAAACAAAAAATTTAAATTGGGGGTTAATATTATAAGACAATATGGTAGATATGGAAGATCTAATACATGAATAGTGGGAGTCTCCTAGGAGGGTAACTAAATTAATAGAGCAAAAACATTTAGAAATCAAACTATACATCAATAAAACTTTCCATAGGTAAAAGAATAGTTGAATATATGGGTTAAAAAGATTTATTTTTGTCCCAGGAAAATCAACACAGAACAATCAACATTGGAAAATAGATAAATAAAATTACTGGACTTCAAAAATGAATAAGGAACTTTCTGGATGTTCAGGAAACAAAATTAGGTTATTCACCAGAGCAAAAAGAGACCAACTAAAAGTTTCAGATTATTCAAAGCTAGATGAATTGGGGAAACACCTATAAGTCCTTAGAGAACAAAAGAGAGAGGGGCAACCCAAGAATTTATATCCAGCCAAACTGTCTTTTATGCATAAATACAACATTCAAGAAATCAAGAACTAAATTCCATGAGACTTTCTTGAAAAAATTAGTAGGGTATTCTCTCCCATGAAGATAACTAGGTAAATAGCCACATTTTGTCTTTATGGTTTCCCAATTTTTAATGTTTTATTCTAATAATTTCTATTATTTTATCACCTCTAAGTAACTAAGAATGAAGTCATTTTTTACTCCTTTCTGACAGAATCATTCCATGTCTCTGCTAACTAAAAGACAAATGTAGAAATTTATACAAGGTCTGACAACTGAGTTAGTGAACTCATGGTAGAAAAAAAGCTATATACCTCATTGCTGAATACCACTATGGTCACCTTTGAAGTACTCCCCTTGGGAAGCTATGCACCGATGCCAGTACATAGTCCACCCTTCAAAATACCACCAGATAGTAAAAGATAAATAAAATTAAAAACAATTACAATGTAAAATATGATAACAAAA